TGGTGTTGCTGCTGCTGCTTGTGGCAATGCTGCTGCTTCTGCTGCTGCTTCTGCTGCTGCACTTGCAGCAGCATTTGCAGCATTTGCAGCAGCAGCAGCAGCAGCACAGCCCACCAGGGCCCTGTGCGTATCTGCATATCTGCCTGCATATTAATAATAGTAAATAGCAAATAAATAAATCTAAATAAATAAACAAATAAATAAATAAATAAATAAATAAATAATATATTTGTTTGTTTGTTTGTTTGCCTGGCAGCTTCTTTGTTTGTTTTGTCGCTAAGCACTGCTGAAAATATATATTTCTCAAAGGGCGACAAAACCTTCGCCTTTTTAAATCCCTTTGAAGCAATCAAAGAGCCCAAAGACTTACACAACCTTATTCTTAATCAAGGATATACAGGTAATTCTACAGCTAGCTAGCTAGCTAGCTAGCTAACTAACTAACTAACTAACTAACTGTATAGTTAGCTATATAGCTACATATCTATATGTATATATATATAATATATATATATATATACATATATATTAACAAGAAGCAAAGGACCTCCAGAGTTGTATTTTAACACAAGGATACACACAGCTAGCTGGCTAACTAGCTAGCTAGCTAGCTATGGTAGCTTAGGCTTGGGGCGCGGGCAACTCGTTAGCTGGCTAGCTAGCTGGAGACTTAGCTAGCTAGGTGTGACGCTTAGCTAGCTAGCAACAGCAGCAGCGGCAGCAGCAGCAGCACCACAAGAGCCGCAGCAGCAGCAGCAGCAGCATGCGCAGAGGCAACACGCGCAGCAGAAGCAGCATCATCGTCATCATCATCATCAGCAGCAGCAGCATGAACACGAACAGCAGCAGCAGCAGCAACAACAGCAACAGCAGCAGCAGCAGCAACAGCAGCAGCAGCAGCAAGAGTAAGATTTTGCTGATTTGTTTGGGGGTGTGTAGGGCTGAGGGTTGACACAGCATTCTTAAGCGGCTGTGCTGCTGCTGTTGCTCTAACAAACTGTCTCCTTAAGCGGAGACAGGTGCGAGCTGTACGTACACTGAACAATCATAAGAGAGGGAAGCTACGATGCCTTAGACTCGGTACAAACCCTAAACCCTAAACCCTAAACCCTAAACCCTAAAAAATAGAAACAAAACTCTTCACGCAGATGCCTCAATCAACCACAAACTCCTCCAAACCCTAAACCCTAAACCCTAATCCGTAGCCCTATTCTATCATTTAAACCCTAAACCCTAAACCCTCATTATGTGTGCCTTCTGTAGACCCTCCCCTCTAAACCCTAAACCCTAAACCCTAAACCCTAAACCCTAAACCCTAAACCCTGATAATATGTGGTTTCGGTAGACCCTCCCCTCTTCCCCTTCCCCCGTAAACCCTAAACCCTAAACCCTAAACCCTAAACCCTAAACCCTAAACCCTGATGATGCGTGTGTTAGGGTCTAGCATGAGTTCTTCTTGCGGCGATGCATGCGGCATTTATTCGCGAAAGAAGTGCAGCAACTGCGAGAAAAATATACAGGGTTTAATTTTATACGGGTTGGGTCCTCAGCAAGCCGAAGAATGCCGACTGCGCATCGATGCAGATGTCAAACAACTCTGGGATGATGTTAGCTACTTACTCCTCCTCCTGCTGCTCCTGCTGCTGCTGCTGCTGCTGCTGCTGCTGCTGCTGCTGCTGCTGCTGCTGCTGCTGCTGCTGGTGCTGTTGTGTTGTTGTTGTTGTTGCTGCTGCTGCTGTTGGCTTGCTGATGATGTTGCTGCTGCTTAGACTGCTGCTGCTGCTGCTGCTACTGCTGGTACTATGTATACAGTTATTGCTGTCAGACTTTAGGGTTTAGGGTTTAATGAGGGTTTGATGAGGGTTTAGAATTTAGGGTGTAATGAGGGTTTAATGAAGGTTTAGGGTCTAGGGTTTAGTGAGGGTTTAATGAGGGTTTAATGAGGGTTTAATGAGGGTTTACTGAGGGTTTACTGAGGGTTTAATGAGGGTTCAATGAGGGTTTAGGGTTTAGGGTTTAGGGTTTGTGGTTTGTGTAAGGTGACGCTTCCTTCTCTTGAGTCTATTTTGCTGCATTTTAATTCTTCCGATTTGCTGGAGCAGCAAAAGCAGCAAAATAGGTTTGTTTATTTTTTGTTGTTTGTTTGTTTTAATATTTTTATTTATTTTATCTTATTTATTTGTTTGTTTTGTTTATTTGTTTTATGCTGTTTGTTTGTTTTTATTGTCGCTTCTCTTTTCTTGTTTTGTTTGTTTTAATAGTTTTATTTATTTTATTTGTTTATTTGTTTTATTTGTTTTGCTGATCTTTTCTACTTCATTGTTTGTTTTGTTTGTTTTAACTATTTTATTTATTTGTTTATTTGTTTTATTTGTTTTGTTTGTTTATTTGTTTTATTTATTTTTATTATTATTTTGTTTTGCCTTTTAATTATTTTATTTTTTCGCCGTTTTGTTTGTTTATTTGTTTTGTTTTGTTTGCCTTTACTCTTTTCAATTCTTTTTTTTGTTTATTTGCTTTGTTTTGTTTGTTTATCATTAACATTATTATTTTGTTTTATTATATTTTACTGTTTATTTTTAGTTTATATATTTTTTTATATATTTGTTTTATTTATATGTTTGCTTTTATGTTTATTTTGATATTTAGTATTGTTTAAATATTTATTTTATAAATATTAATACCAAAATATTTATTTATTTATTTGTTTAAATATTTTAATTTAATTAATTTAATTTAATTTAATTTTTATTTCTTATTTTTTTCAGAGTTCGTCGCCAGACAAAGCAGAGGAGCCAAGAGAGACGACAAAGCAGCAGGTAATAAATAAATAAATAAATAAATAAATAAATAAATTAATTAATTAATTAATTAATTAAATTAAATTAATTATATTGTTGGTGTTTATTTGAAAATAAACAAACATCAATCGATAGAGTTGCTGCTGCTGCTGGCTTCTCCTAAGGTGCTGCTGTGTTGCTGCTGCTGCTGCTGCTGTTGCTGCTACTGTTGCTGTTGCTGCTGCTGTTGCTGCTACTGCTATGGCGTGGGATTAGATTAGGGTTTGGGGTTTGTAATGTTTGAAGGGTTGTTAGGGTTTAGGGTTTAGGGTTTAGGGTTTTGTTTGCGGTGTACAGACACCTCAACAAGTTTCGACGCATTCAAAATACACATTTGTTTACAGCAGAAGAATTGAGAGCCTTTGCTAATGGTGTTACTCCCTCATCAAAACCCTAAACCCTAAACCCTAAACCCTAAACCCTCGGCGTCTAATCGTTGGGGCGCCGCAGCGATTAAAACTGCAGTACTGAGGAGACAGCGTGAAGCATTAAAAATGTTTTTTTTCTTTTAAAATAAATTAAATATATAAATAAATAAATAAAATATATATGTGTACCCTACATATATATATATATATATATATATATATATATATATATTATATATTAGATGAATGTATTCAAATATAAATATCTGGTGTACGTCTGTTTAATTGTTGAGGTATGTAAAAGGCAAAAAGACAGCAGGTAGTGTTTAGGGTTTAGGTACGGTTAGGGTTTAGGGTTTAGGGTTTAGAATTTAGCTTAGGGTTTAGGGTTTAGTTGGAGCAGTGTAGAATGGAGACATAAGAGGGTGTGAGAGCGCAAAACCCTAAACCCTAAACCCTAAACCCTAAACCGTAAAGTGATAATATGTGCTGCTCGAGCAGCAGAGAACGAGGAGTTGTAAACCCTAAACCCTAAACCCTAAACCCTAAACCCTGTTGTTTGGGGGTGTGGGAGCTCTAAAGACAAGGGATACAAGATTGAAAACAAACAAAACGCAAAAAATAAAGCAAATGCAGTGGGATAAAGAAACAAAACAATAAGTAATAAACAATAGACATGCTGTGTATATGCATACACCTGAAAGAGTATTGAACAGACATAAATACAACAAACAATAAGAAAGCCCTTTTAAAAAGAAGTGAAGAGATATTAAAGTTTAAAATATCTTTATTTTATCTGAAAATTAGTTAAAACTGCCCATATTATTCGGTGTCTAGGGTCGAGGGTTTAGGGTTTAGGGTTTAGGGTTTAGGGTTTAGGGTTTAGGGTTTAGGGTTTGGCGGCGACTGGAGGAGCTGCGGTGTACGGGCAGGGGTTGGCTGGGGGTTTCTGCATTTAGCTGTTGTCCTATGAACATTTATTTTTACTAAGGCTCAATGATTTGCGAATCTGCTGCTCTCAAACCCTAAACCCTAAACCCTAAACCCTAAACCCTAAACCTTTAACCTGCATGCAAAACGCTCAAGCTATGAGCCCAGCCAGAGAGCGGCTGCTGCTGCTTTTTAACGGCATTCTTTGTCTTAAACCCTCACTCCTAAACCCTAAACCCTAAACCCTACTGAGGGGTTCCCAATGCCCGCACTGGAAACCCTAAACCCTAAACCCTAAACCCTAATTTTACCCGGGGGCGGTCGGCTGCTGTTGCTGCTGCTGCTGCTGCTGCTCCTGCTGCTGCTGCTAAGAGACTTCATTCTGCGCTTCTTTTTTTGCTTTATTTTCTTGCTTTGGGGCCCTCAACAGACGGAAGACAGAAAGGCAGCAGGCTTGCCTCAGCAGCAGCAGCAGCAGCAGCAACTGCAGCAGCAGCAGCAGCAGCAGCAGCACACCTTTGCCTCCTCTGCCAGACGTTTGGGCCCAAGGGGGGGCCCTGGGGGCCCCTTCCAGCAGCACTCCTACATGCGTGTTTCTGCTGCTGCTGGCAGCAGCAGCAGCAGCAGCACAGCCAGCAGCAGCAGCAGCAGCAGCAGCAGCAGCAGCAAGCCAAATGGATGCGCATAGCCTAAAGGGATTCGCCATCGAACAGGGGCCCTCAACCCCAGCAGGGGGGCCCCCTGGGGGCCCCCCAGGGGCCCCTCACTCTGCTGCTGCTGATGCCTATACACCCCAATGCTATATGCCGATACAGCTGCTGCAACAGCAGCAACAACTGCTGCAGCTGCAGCAGCAGCTTCAGCAGCAACAGCAACATGCACCTCAGCAGCAACACCAACAAGAAACCGACTTAGGCCCTCTACGGCAGCAGCAACTGCTGCAGCAACATTTGCTGCAGCAACAACTGCTGCAGCAACAACTGCTGCAGCAACAGCAGCAACCCCACCCAAACTCACCGTCGCAGCAGCAGCAAGCGAATAATGCACAGCAGCAGCTGCTGCTACAGCTTCAGCAATTGCAGCAACAGCAGCAGCAACAGCTACAGCAGCAGCAGCAGCAGCAACTTCAACAACAGCTACAGCAACAGCAACAACTGCAGCAGCACCAGCAGCAGGAGCTCCAGCAACAGCAGCTGCAGCAGGACCAGCAGCAGCAGCAGCTGGGGGGAGAACTGCAGTCTGCAGAGCGGCAGCAGCAGCCGCTGCTACAACAGCAGCAGCTGCTGCAGCAGTTACAGCAGCAGCAGCAGCAGGACCAGCAGCAGAAAAGGAGCGCACGAGCTAGAAAGCCGCAGCAAAAGAGGCAGCAGCAGCAGCAGCAGCAGGAGAGCATATACAAAAAGACATACACCAGCAACAACAGGCGTGCAAGAGCAGCGGGAGAAGCAGCAGCAGCTGCTGCAGCAGCAGCGGCAGCAGCAGCAGCAACAGCAGCAGCCAACGACACAGGAGCAACAGCAGCAGCAAGCGAAACACCTTTTGGAGCCGCCGCAGCAGCAGGAGCAGCAGCAACAGCAGCAGCAACAGAACCAGCGATAGGCAGCAACACCAATACAAATCCATCGAACCTTCTGCTGGCTTCTGCTGCTGAGCATGTAGCTGCAGCACCCGGTGCGACAGCAGCAGCAGCAGCAGCAGCAGCCGCAGCAGCTGCAGCAGCAGGCCCTTCATCTCCAGATGCAGCAGCAGCAGCAGCAGAAGGAAGCGCACTTGAAGGTGAGAGTGCTTCTTTAGGTTTGCTGCAGCAGCTTCCTGTAGTGGATGAAGCAGCAGCAGCAGCAGCAGCAGCCCAGACAGCTCAGCAGGCCGCCGCAGCCGCAGCAGCAGCAGCAGCAGCAGCAGCAGTGCCTCGGTGGAGACTACGACCTGTAAGAAAGCGCAGCAGTTTGCGTCTGCTGCCGCTGAATGAAAGAAAAGAGTGGGAGGCCCCAGAGCTGCGGCAGTACCTTAGGGAGGTATGCTGCTGATGCTGCTGCTGTTGCTAGTGCTGCTGCTGCTGCTGCTGCTGTTGCTGATGCTGTTGCTGATGCTGACCATTCTGATGCTGTTGCTGCTGGTGCTGATATTGCTGCGGGTGCTGCTGCTGTTGCTGATACTGCTGCTGCTGCTGATACTGCTGCTGCTGCTGATACTGCTGCTGATGCTGCTGCTTGTGCGTGTTTTTTTTTGCTGTTCGTTCCGCGTGATCAAAATCCTTTCCTTTTGCTGCTGTTGCTGCTGCTGTTGCTGCTGTTGCTGCTGCTGCTGCTGCTGCTGCAGCGAGACTTGCGGGCTTACGCTTTGTGGCAGCAAGCGGTGCAGCGGGTATTAGATGAAGGGGGACGCGAAGCAGCAGCAGCAGCAGCAGCAGCAGCAGCAGCAGGACAACTGAATGCCCTGTGCAATAAAAAAAGCAAGAAGAGCAGCAAAGAATCACTCCTTGAACCTCCGAAGAGGTAAGCCCTCACAAACCCTAAACCCTAAACCCTAAACCCTCAGATGTCCTCCACCTAAACCCTAAACCCTCGATGCAAACTAGCTACGACCCACACTCGTAAGAGAGACAGGAGAGGGTATCTGTTGCTGTTCTTCCTCTTTGGTTTGAGGGTTTAGGGTTTAGGGTTTTAGGGTTTAGGGTTTAGGATTTAGGGTTTGGGGTGCTGCAGGTTGCTGCGCCACGAGCCGTTTGACGAGCAGCTGGCGCTGCAGCACTACCAGCTGCTGCAACAGCAACAGCAGCAGCAACAGCAAGAAGAAGAGCTCTCCGCAGTGAAGTCGGAGGACAGCAGCAGCAGCAGCAGCAGCAGCAGTAGCAGCAGCAGCAATACGGTTGCAAATGATGAGGCATGCAGCAACAGAGTCGTTGCTGCAGCAGCAGCAACGGTTCCAGCAGCAACAGCAGACGATGCAGCAGAAGCAACAGCAGCAGCAGCTGCAGCAGCAGCAGCAGGAGCACCCCGTGGCTTTGCAGAGGCAGCAAAAGAGGAAGATGATGATGCCCCAGATCAGCCCACTGTGCGTCCTGCTGCTGCTGCTGCTGCCGTTGCTGCTGCTGCTGTTGCTACTGTTGCTGCTGCTGCTGCTGCTGTTGCTGCTGCTGCAGCTGCAGGCACCGTGGCATTTGATGTTGGTGCCTGTAGCTGTGTTGCTGCTGCATGGTGTGTTGCTGCTGCGATACGCATAACGTTGTTCTTCTTGCTGCTGCTGCTGCTGCTGCTGCTGCTGCTGCTGCTGCTGCTGCAGTACGGGATGGAGCCTTACGATTCATCATTGGAGGAGCGCGAAGAAGCAAAACTACCTGATGTATTTCCTTCGGGTATTCAAAGGAGAAGAGACGACGCATCTGTAGACCGTAAGCTGCTGCTGCTGCTGCTGCTGCTGCTGCTGATAGTACTAACACTACTACTGCTGCTGTTGATGCTACTGCTACTGGCGGTTCTGCTGCTGGGTTTGGTTCTGCTGCTGGTTTTGCTGTTGGTGCTGTTACTGCTGCTGCTGGGGGTTGTGATGCTGCTGCTGCTGCTGCTGCTGCTGCTGGGGGGTGGCTGTGGCGGCCTCCAGTAGCAGCAGCAGCTGCAACAGCTGCTGCGACAGCAGCTCCAGAAGCAGCTGCAACAGAAGCTGCAACAGGAGGACGATTAGCAGCAACAGCAACAGGAGCAGCAGCAGCAACAGGAGCAGCAGCAGCAGCAGCAGCAGCAGCAGAAGCAGGTGTGTGTGTGTTGCTGCTGCAGCAAAGGTTAACTACCACATGTTTTTGCTGCTTCGTTTTCTCGATTTGTTTGCTCCGCACATTGGCTTAGAGGATTGGTCCTTCGAGGCGGTGTTTGATTTAGTTATCAAACGAGTAAACCCTAAGCCCTAAACCCTAAGCCCTAAACCCTAAGCCCTGCTAGGGGCTTTCCTGCTGTCCACCCTCAACTCTAAGCACTCATCAGATGCAAACGCTTTAAACTCTAAACCCTAAATTCAATTTGATAGGAAGGAAAGCTTTAGGATTTAGCGTTTAGGGTTTAGGGTTTAGGGTTTAGGGTTTAGGGTTTGCTGATTTTAGGACTTGAACGAATTTGGAGCCCGTTTCTTCTCGCGGCTCTCCGCCCTTATTGGCCGCCGGTACACCCCAGGTAATTCTAATTAGGGTTTAGGGTTTAGGGTTTAGGGTTTAGTGTTTTTTGGAGTTGATGCTCAGAAGATGAGTTGTTGCAGCTGCTGCTCGTGCTAGTTTGATACTACTGCTGTTCTTTGTTCTGTTGCTGCTGTTGCTGCTGCTGCTGCACCTTTTCCTGCACGTGCTGCTGCTGCTGCTGCCCTGTTGCTGCACCTGCTGCTGCTGCATATGTTGATTATAGATCTGCTGCTGCTGCTGCACGTGGTATATCCGCTGCTCTTTTGTTTTACATCTACTGCTGCTTCATCTGCTGCTGCTGCTGCTGCTGCTGCTGCTGCTGCTGCTGCTGCTGCTGCTGCTGCTGCTGCTGCAGGTAACAACCTGTCGAAGTGTTTATGCAAATTTTTAGAAGACCGAGCGGCGATTGATTTTTTGTTTTTGTTTCCTCTTGGAGTTAACCCGTTTCTTGTTAGAGGCTGGGAGGATGTTAAACCCTACCAGGTATATATCAGGCCTATGCTGCTGCTGCTGCTGTTGCTGCTGCTGGTGTTGCTGCTGCTGCTGCTGCTGCTGTTGCTGCTGTTGGTGGTAGTGGTGGTGGTCCTCGTAGTGCTGCTGCTGTTGCTGCTGCTGCTGCTGTTGCTGTTCTGCTGCTGTTGCTGTTCTGCTGCTGGTGATGCTGCTGGTGTTGCTGCTGTTGCTGCAACTGTTGCTGCTGCTGCTGTTGGGGTTGCTGCTCTTGCAACTGCTCTGTTTTATTTTTTTAAATTTATTTTATCATATTATTTTTTTAATTTATTATTTTTAATTTATTATTGTCGTTTTTATTTTTTTTTAGTTTATTTATTACTTGTGCATTTTATTTTTAAGATTTATTTTGAGTTATTTATAATTAAATTAATCCATGACATATTTAATTTAGTTAATTTAATTAATATAATTAATTTATTTTATTTTATTTTATTTTATTTTATTTTATTTTGCTGCAGCGGCTGCGATGTCTTCGTCTGCTGGTGAATGCGGCTCTGGGCGACTCAGCGGCTATTCACAACGTAATAGGTAAAATAAATAAATAAATAAATTAATTAAATTAAATAATTAAATTAATTAAATAAATTAAATTAAATTAAATTAATTAAATTAATCAGAAGAAAATCAAACATTTTGATGTATTTGTTTCATAGACAAAGTTTGTCTTGGTGTGAATACACAAAATAATTTTAATAAATTAAATAAATTAAATTAAATAATTTAAATAAATTTAAATAAATTTAATAAATTTTATTTAATGCTGCTACTTTTGCTACTCCTGCTGCTGCTTCTGCTGCTGCTGTTGCTGCTTGTGTTGCTGCTGCTGCTGCTGCTGCTGTTGCTGCTGCTGCTGCTGCTGCTGCTGCTGCAGACACCTGGGGACCTGCGAAGAAGTCTAATTTTTTAGACGGTTCATTCTTTATTTCTTCTGAGGGTTTTGTTTTTTGGCTAATAGCGGAGCATCAGCAGCCTCATGTTTTTAAACTCTACAAGGTAAACCCTAAACCCTAAACCCTAGCAGCAGTAATCAGTAACGCCCTTAAAGCCTTGACTCCAATAAACCCTAAACCCTAAACCCTAGCAAGCAGCACTTTCTTCATTGCAGACACCGCAAGCAACGGATTGCGCGAGAGCGCCAGCAATTCAGTGTTTAGGGTTTAGGGTTTAGGGTTTAGGGTTTAGGGTTTTGTCTTCAGGAGGACCCAGCAGAGGGAACGCTGGAGATCGTGGCGGAGACTCTTGAGCAGCTGAAGGCGCTCGCGGAAGAAGAAGAGGTATAAACCCTAAACCCTAAACCCTAAACCCTAAACCCTCAAAACCCTAAACTGTCAAAACCCTAAACCCTCCTTTTCCTCTCTATGAAACTAGGCTGCTGCTAGCTCCATCCACGTACCTCTTAGGATTTAGGGTTTAGGGTTTAGGGTTTAGGGTTTAGGGATTAGGGTTTAGGGTTTAGGGTTTAGGGTTTAGGGTTTAGGGTTTAGGGTTTGGGGTGTATGTACTCCAGGCAAAGGATCCGCCAGATGAATTTTTTCCTACTCTTCTTAAGGAGAAGCACAGCGAATTGGAAGCTGCTGCTGCTGCTGCTGCAGCTGCTGCTGCAGCACGACAGGAGCTGGAGCAGCAGCAGCAGCTGCTGCGGCAGCAGCAAGAGCAGGAACATGCAAAGGGTATGGAACCAACCCTCTTACAAAGGGTTTAGGGTTTAGGGTTTAGGGTTTAGGGCTGCAGCTGAAGCCGAAGCTTTTGGCTCCACGATTGAAGGCTCAGGGTTTACGGCTAGGGTTTACGGTTTAGGGTTTAGAATCTAGGGTTTAGGGTTTAGGGTCTAGGGTTTAGGGTTTTGAATTTCAGGCGAGGCGGAAGCAGACAAAGCGCAGCCCGAGAACGCAGGAGATGCAAACCACAGCGATGCACCAATTGAGGTAAACCCTAAACCCTAAACCCTAAACCCTAGGCCTCAGTCTTAGATAGTTCGGGTTGGCTGCCCTCATAGCAGCAACAGCAAATGGCAGCAGCAGCAGCAGTAGGTGCAGCAGCAGCTGCTGCTGCTGCAGCACCGCGAACAGCAGCATCAACAACAACAACAGCAGCAGCTGTAGCTGTAGCACGTCCAGCAGCACCAACAGGAGCAGCAGCAGCAGCTGTAGCACGTCCAGCAGCACCAACAGCAGCAGCAGCAACAGCAGCAGCAGCAGCAGCAGCAGCAGTTGTTGCTGTTATGTTTGTTTGCATGCGCAGTACCGCATTTTAATGAAGAATAGGCGGGTGGGGGCACGAGAAAGAGGCAGCAGATTGGAGGCGAGAAACCAGCGGATTGAAATGGTTAGCGCGCTGCTGCTGCTGCTGCTGCTGCTGCTGCTGCTGCTGCTTTTGCTGCTGGTGTTGGTGCTGTCGCTGCTGTAACGCTGCGCTGCTGCTGGTTTTAGTTTTGCTGCTTCTTTTAGCGCTGTTGATGCTGTTTTGCTGCTGTAGGTTCTTTTGCTTCTGCTGCAGTTGTTGCTGCTGCTGGCGTGGCTTTGCTGCTATGGTTGCTGCTGCTGTCGTACATTGCTTAGCCTGCTGCTGAGTATATTGCTGCTGCTGCTGTACTGGCTGCTGCTTCTGCTGCTTCATTTGCTCTTGCTCCGTGTGCTGCTTCTGCTGCTGCTGCTGCAGCAACAACTGGAGGCGTGCGGCCCGTTGGGTGAGGAAGGGTGCGCAGCAGAGGCTCCGACAGCAGCAGCAGCAGCAGCAGCGCAGCAGCAGCTGCTGCTGCGCTCTCGACTGTGCAGCAGCCCTCCATCTGTCTCACCATTGATGTCTTTTTCACCTCCGTTGCCGCAGCAGCAAAAGGGAGGGGGTCTTGGTGCTGCTGCTGCTGCTGCTGCTGCTTCTCCTCTGGTATCAGCAACAGCAGCACCGAGCGCACTTGTTGCTTTGCTTCATCTTGCTCTTACAACGCTGCCGCAGCAGCAGCAGCAGCAACAGCAGCAGCAGCAAGCGGCTCTATTGGCTGAAAGGGAAGACCAGCAGCAGCAGCAGCAGCAGCGGGTAGATGATGATAGCTGCGACCTGCAGATGAACCCGCAGCCGCAGCCGCAGCAGCAGCAGCAGCAGCAGCAGCACCAACACAGTCGGCAGCTGTCTCCAGCCGAAGCAGCAGAACTGCAGCAACATGCGCAGCTGCTCCTTGATGTAAGGCACTCGTTGCTGCTGCTGAAGAAGCTAGAAGAAGCGCAGCAGCAACAGCAGCAACAGCAGAATCAACAGCAACAACAGCAGCAGCAGAAAGGAGACGAGGAGGAACTCCGCGTACAGGCGGTAGGCAAAGGGTTTATAAGGGTTTAGGGTTTAGGGTTTAGGGTTTAGGGTTTGGCGTTTAGGGTTCTGGCTTACGGATTCGGTTGTAGGGTTTACGGTGTACGTTTCACCATTTAGCTTCTAGGGTTTAGGGTTTAGGGTTTAGGGTTTAGGGTTTAGGGTTTAGGGTTTAGGGTTTAGGGTTTGAGGGAGAAGGGCTCCTTAGCCACCGTCTCTGAAGATGCAAGAGAAGGTCTAGGGTTTAGAGTTTATGTGTAGGTGATGGAATTTTACGGATTGCTGCGATCCAAGTGGAAGGACGCAGCAGATGCAGCAGCAACAGCAGCAGCAGCAGCAACAGTAGCTGCAGCGGCAGCAGCAATCGGGCCGCAGCTGCTGCAGGAAGCAGACAAGACCTACAGTTTGTTTTGTGCTGCCCCTCAGCAGCCGCAGCAGCAGCAGCAGCAGAAACAGCAGCAAGAGGAGACGCAGCAGGAACAGCAGCAGCAGGAAGAGGAGGAGCAGCAACGAGAGCGGGATACACAGCAGCAGCAGCAGCAGCAGAGCGAGCAGCAGCAGCAGCAGCAAAGTGCTTCATCTTTTGACAAGGCTCCAGCGCTGCCGCTCACCGCAGAAGCGGCAGCTGCTGCAGCAGATTGATTTTGCAGCAGCAGCAGCAACAGGAACAGCAGCAGCAGCAGCAGCAGCAGCAATGTAGCTGCTGCAGTAGAGTTGCGTTTGCTGCTCCTTTCAACATTCGACAGCGCACACATGATATAAACCCCGAGCTATCTGTCTACGCTAGCGAGCTAGCTACGGCTAGTTGGCTAGCTAGCTAGCTACGTAGCTAGCTAGCTACAGCTAGCTGCGTTGCTCTGGCAGCGAGACACAGTAGTGATCTGCAGACAGAGCGGCTAGCGGAGGCACGTCGCTGAATAGGTCTTGCTAGATGGCAAGCTGTAGCTAGCTAGCTAGCTAGCTAGCTAGATAGCTAGCTAGCTAGCTAGCTAGATAGCTAGCTATAGCGAGCTAGCTATATGGCTAGCTATAGCTAGCTATTCGGGGGCAGCAGATTGGCGTTATGCTGCTTTTAGCTTCTTTCTGCTGGCAGGGAGTGCTGCAGCAGGAGTAGCAGCAGCAGCGGCAGCGGCAGCACGCGTCGCAGCAGCAGCAGCAACAGCAGCAGCAGCAGCAGCAGCAGCAGGAGCTGCTGCTCGCGCTTCTTTTTGTGTTTGTGCTGCTGCGTTGCATTGGTGGCTGCATTGGCGGGTTAAGAGGAAGTTAAATAAGTCGGAGCAGCAGATAATTATCTTTTGCTGTGTACATACACCGGAGGTGAGGAGAACGAAGATGAACAGGCCTTTGCAGCAGCAGCAGCAGCAGCAGCAGCAACAGCAGCTCCAGCTGCTACTGCTGCTGCTGCATGCAAGCATGCATGCATGCGCGCCGATCCTCCACTACCGGGCCAGCAAGCTAGCTAGCTAGAGATGTCCAGCTAGCTGGCTAGCTAGCTGGCTAGCTAGCTTACTAGTGTTTTGGCTAGCTAGCGATATTAGGGTCCTTGATGTTTGTTTGTTTGTTTGTTTGTTTGTTCGTCTTGTTTCTTTCGGTGGCGTTCGCCCTTTGTGTTGAGTGAGTGACAGCTAGCCAGCTAGCTAGCTAGCTAGCTAGGTAGCTATCTAGCTAGCCAGCAAGCTGGCTTCAGCTATATGTCAGCCCTTAGGCTGCCCCGTAGCTAGCTTCGTAGCTACCTACGGCTTTCCAGCAGCTTAGTTCGATAGCTAGGTAGCTAGCTATCTAGCTGGCTAGCTAGCCGTCTAGCTAGCTGGGTAGCTAGCTAGCTAGCTAGCTAGCCAGCTAGCTATCGGATTGGCTAGCTGGCCATTTGACTTGGGGGAGTTGTGAACTTCCAGACAACGTGTTGTTCTTTGAATTGTTTGTGTGTATGTACACCTCAGTCTTTACTACTGGTGCTGTTGATTGTGTATATACACCCCGTTCTTCTTCGTCGGGCTGTGCATGCATTTGCTTCACCTTATTATAATATAGATAGGACAGACGATGCTGCTCGGACCAGCATTGCAGTAGCTAGCTAGCTAGGTATATACCTGGCTAGCTGTAGGTAGCTAGCTGGCTAGCTGCTTAGCTAGCTGCGTACCTAGCTAGCTAGCTACTGACAGGGAAGGAGGTGGCAGTACACTGGAGTCCAGCAAAGATGCTGAGGGGAGGCACACCGCAGCTCTTTGGCTAGCTAGCTAGCTAGCTGTTTGGGTAGCTAGCTACGGCTAGCTACTAGTTTCCCTAGCTACCTGTTTGTTTAACTAGCTGTTTGCTTAGCTAGGAATCTCTTTAGCTAGAAGTTTGTTTAGCTAGCCGTTTGTTTAGCTAGCTGTTTGGCTAGCTAGCCGTTTGGCTAGCTAGCTGTGCTGTTCACTGGCTAGTGGAGAAGGTGTAGAGAGAAGACAAGGAAAACAAAAGCAGCAGCAACAGAAAATAAAAAATAATAAATAAAATTAAAAATTAATTAATATGAAAATGCGTCAGCCGGGACTCGAACCCGGGTCGCAACCTTGGGAGGGTT